TCAAAATAAAAAAAAATTTAAAAAGTGTCAGCTGGTTTGAATTCTTCTGAGGCCCAACTCTGTGGCTTGTGACAGCCGCCTTCTGGCTCTGTGCCTGTGCAGTCATCTCTGTGTTGCCTGTGTCTGGTGTCTTTACTTCTAAGGGCACTAATCCCATCATGAGAGCCCCACCCTCATGCCCCTTTCTAAACCTAATTTCCTCCCAAAGGTCTCGCCTCCCAATACCATCACACTGGGGGGAAGCTTGAACATATGAATGGGGGAGACAGGCACGCAATTCAGTTCATAACTTAACCTGTGAACAGCTTGTTCTAAAGCACAGCTTCCTGCATCCTTGCTCTAGAGATTCTGATCCAGGTCCTTTGGGTGGGATCTGGGAATTTCTATTTTCCTTTGGTGCCTCACGTGATTCCCCACCTCAGGCAGGCTGGAGAGGCCCTGGGTGAGTTGATGACTGAGTTTCTCAGTTCCTGGGCAGTAAGTAAGCTGTGGGGTCCTCCAGATCCCCCACAGTGGCTTGTCACATCTCTGCTTGAGCACTTAGCCCATGCCTCTCTGTAACAGTCAGCAGAGCGTGGGAGGGAGGAGCTGTAACTTATCCCTATGGATATCTGTAGCCCAGCACGGGGGGACGGTGCTGGAGCAAGGCACACAGTAGCCGAATCATTAACATGTACCGAGGGCCTTGCCTAGGACTGCTTCTAACTTCAAACCTTTTTGAAACGTGTAAATCTTGTTCAGTGAGCTCTCAAAGTGGGTTCTGACGTTATTTTGGGAAAGGCAGTGCGGCCACCTTTGTTTTTACTGTCCAGGAGGTTTAAACAACAGCGAGCACATTTACATTTCCCTCGTCTCCCTGAGCAGCAGAAACTGAAACAACTTGAGCTGTGACTAGAAAATGAATATAAACAAGCACAAAGAACAGCCCCGCCCCTGCCAGGCCCCACTTTCTGCCGTTCCTGCTGACTGTAAGGCAAATGATAACTGAGGCTTCTTAGGACAGTATAATACAAGAGAAGAACGGGACATGCTTCCATATTCCTTTAATTCTGTTATTCCTATGAAGAACAGTCAAGTGAGGAAAGGGAAGGCAATGTGGAAAGAGTTTTCTTTATTAAAAGTGGGACTAAGAAGAAATGCGAAGTCGGTGAACTGATACATAGCAAACATAAACCTTTCTGAAAAATCACAATCACTATTTACCTATTAGGGAAGCTAAAGTTTGAAAAAGGCGACAGTAGCAGCTGCTGGTGATGATGTAGAGAAAGTGGATCTCTCTCGTGTTGCTGGTGTGAGTGTAAATAGGATAAGCATTCTGGAAAACTGTTTCACAGTTTCTTGTAAAACTAAACGTGCCATATGGCCCAGTGACTACACTCCTGGGCATTTATCCCAGAGAAATTAAAATGTATGTCCACAGAAACTCACATACAGGAATGCTTAAATTAGCTTTATTTGTAACAACCCCAAATGGTAAGTGACCCAAATGTTGTTGAGTGAATGAATGGTTAAACAAACGTACGTGGAATGTCCTCAACATGGAATACTACTCAGCAAGAAAAAGCACCATCAGAGCGCACAGCAACTGGGACGGAGCTCACAGGAATCACACCAAGTGCAAAATACAACCTCAAACAGTTTCATACTGCATGATCTTATTTACTTATTTATTTTGAGACACAGTTTCACTCTGTCGCCCAGGTTGGAGTGCAGTGGCACAATCTCAGCTCACTGCAACCTCAACCTCCCGGGTTCAAGCGATTCTTGTGCCTCGCTCTCCTGAGTAGCTGGGGTTATAGGCATGCACCACCATGCCCAACTAATTTTTGTAATTTTAGTAGAAATGGGGTTTCGTCACGCTGTCCAGGCTGATCTCAAACTCCTGACCTCAAGTGACCTGTCTCAGCCTTGCAAAGTGCTGGGATTACATGCATGAGCCACTGTACCTGGCCTGCATGATTTGATTTTATGTAACTTCTTTTTAAGAGATGGGCTCTTGTCTGTTGCCCAGGCTGCAGTGCAGTGGCACAATCGTACCTCACTGCAGTCTCAAACGCCTGGGCTCAAGGGATCCTCTTGCCTCAGCTTCCTGAGTAGCTGAGACTCTATTTTTATTTAGTATAAAATAAAAAATATATAAAAAATATATAATATATAAAATATATTTTTATTTAGCATAAAATATTTTATACTAAAATATATTTTTTATGTATTTTTATTTTATACTAAAAAAATACATTTTTATAGAGATGGGGTCTGGCTATATTGCCCAGTCTGGTCTCAAACTCCTGAGCTCAAGTGATCTCCCACTTCAGCCTTCCAAGTAGCTGAGATTACAGATGTCAGTCACTGCACCTGGCAAGAATTTTACAGTAACAAAATTGTAGAGATGGAGAACAAGTTGTGGTTTCCAAGGGTTAAGGTGGTGGCAGTGGGCAAATGGGGAGAGACAAAGAGGCAGCATAAGGATCCCTGTGATGGTAACCCGGCAATTCTGCATCTAAGCATGTGCTCCAAAAAATCTAAAGCAGGAACTCCAATGGATCTTTGTACACCCATAGCAGGATTATTCACAATAACCTGAAGGGGAAACAACCCAAGTGTCCATCAGTGGATGACTAGATGAACAAAACATAGCACGTGCGTACATCATTGAACCTTAAAACAGAAGGAAATTCTGACACACCCCGCAGCAGAGATGACTCTGGAAGACAGGCTGGACAAGAAAGCTTCGGTATTTCATGATTCTGCTTACCCCAGGTCCCTAGAATAGTCAAATTTGTAGCAGCCGAAAGCAGTGATGAGCAGGGCCTGGGGACGGGAGAACGGGGAGCTGGTGACGAATGGGGACGGAGTTTCAGTTTGGGGTGATTAAAAACTCCAGAGATGGCTAGCGGTCATGGTCGCACAAAGATGTGAATGAACTTAATGCCACTGAACTGTGCATGGAAACATTGTTCAAATGGTAAATTTATGTTAGGGATACCTTACCACAATTAAAAACAAAGTATTACTAGAGGTAAATAGGGTCACACACACACAAAAGGCAAACGTCAAATTCTTCCTCTCACTCACTAGATTTTTCTTTCAGCTCCAAAGATGAGTCAGTTTTACCACACATTTAAGTAAAGTAATAACAGAAGGATAAATGGAAAACCGAAATCGTGCCGCGCAATGATTCGGAAAGTTAGAACTTTCAGCTTGTTTTTGCATTCTGTGCATTTCAACCTAAAGTCAGGATTCCTGTTGTATTGACTTCTCTGGCTTCACGGAACTCAGTCTGATGAGGCCACCGTGGTGTTCTGAATGCACATTGTTCTCCTCAGGACTCACGCCATTTGTCCCCCCTCAAATCACCTCTGTTCTCTTTCTCTTCTCCACCTGTCCAAATAGTACCATCCTGCAGATCCAGCTCAAATTCCACCTTCCCAAGACAGTACATCGGCGATTCCTCTCCCTCCTCTCACTAGTTTTACTGCTTATCCAGATCAGTGTTTCAGCACCTGCAATTTTTGGTTAGATTTAAAAGTGCAACTTTCATATTCCTCCAATTAGTGTGTAAGATCCTCGAGGCACAAAGGAAGTTGTCAATCTGTTCGTAGCCACCGAATAAGTCAGTACTGTGAGTTTCACAGTGGGTACTCGGTCAACTTCCGGAGCTGATTAAACAGAAGTTTTCATCCATTTCCCTACTCAATTCTGAAACATTTGAGAAAAAAATATAAATGAGAGAACTTCCTGAAGACCTAGTCTATGAAGGATGGAGGTACCTTAAAAATCCATATTTGTAAGAACTTTCTGAGTTTGTGCTTTATAAAATCACAGATGGCTAGAATTGTAGAGAACCCTAGTCATTATCAATTACAATGTCTATATCTCACAGAACAGGAAACAAATGCCCAGAAAGTCAGACACTGACCTAGAAAGATGGTAAAGGGTTGAGTCTAGAACGCATGTCTTCTTCAAAGTTCCCACTTCTTTTCACTGACCACAGCTGCCTGATGGAATAATTTTGTTTATGTATGGGATATATGGCATGTTGAAATGAGAAATGTCCATTATAATTTTCCACCTGCGATGAAGCACATTAAATTCTTGGTAATAATAACCTTGAGTGTTCAAATTAGTAGGTCTGTGGATATAAACCTGTTGTGCTGGCTGAGCTGAGACGCAGATGACCGTCTGTGGTGTGTAAATGAAGACCACCCAAAGAGAACAAGCAAAGGCTATTTATTTGGGGCTTGCCGTTGCTTGCATTTGGCAGAGACTCAAAGGCAGGCAGAGGAGTGGGAATCTTTATAGTGGAAACAAGCGAGGGCTTCAGGTGTGTCCTGGTAGGAGGCGGCTGGTCTGGGAAGCTGCAGGTGGGCTAATCAGATGTGGGGCATCTGATGGGATTGGTGCAGGAGCTTATTTGGCTTTCTCTGCTCCTAAGTTAGGGGTGGGGACAAAAACTAGGGAAGTTGTCAGTTATTAGTGAAGTCCTGACATTTCTGGGCTAGTTGTGCCAGAGGGTATTGTATGGTTTCTTGGCCCGATCGCCTGATGGTCGCTGCTTCCTGGGCTGGTTACTGTAGGTCATGGGCTGCTTCCTGGGCTGGTTACTGTAGGTCACGGGTTGGTTGTCTGGGCTGGTTGCTGTAGGTAATGGGCTGGTTGTCTGGGCTGGTTACTGTAGGTCATGGGCTGGTTGTCTGGGCTGGTTGCTGCAGATGGCAGGTCAGAGTTCTATTTTCATTTGGTCTGAGGATTGCCTGTTTGTGTATTCAGTCTTTCCGTGGTTCCGCTTAAGGAAATTGGCCACTTCTTGTTCTGTGAATGAGTGTCATCCTCCTTAACCTACTTTTTGTAAGTCACAAGGTCTAGACTGAATTGAAGGGGCACATTCAGGAGTCAAGTATGTTTTCATGCCTCCCTGTCTTCAGGGAGCAGAGCCTCTGCTGTATACGATGTCCCCACAGCCTTTTAAAAACCATTGCTGTTCTCATTTTAATCTCCTGCTAAAAAAAAAATGTGCACTACCTCTGGCCTGAGTCTAACCCTCTTGTCCACCCTTTGGTCCTCTGTGATCTGTGTTTGCCACAGTCACCCAATTTTCTCTTCCTCCTGCATGCTCAGGCTGGAATCCTGGCTTCCCCAGGCTGATTCTGACTCCTGTGCCCTTCCCCGCCATGGCTTCCCCCTTCCTGAAATTCCTCCGCCTCTTTTCTCCAAATCCTGCCTATCATTCAAACTCCAATCTGGAACCTGCATCCTGCAGGAACCATTCCCTCACAATTTCAGTGCATGTGGAAGTCTCCTTTTCCTGAACTCTCAGGGGCTGAACTTGTAATTCTCACTTGGGGTTTCCAAAGTCTGTCGTCAGAGATGCCCCTGGGGAAGCCTGTTGGAAGCAGAGAGTACTGGGTCCCACCCTTGGGGATGCTGATTTGTTAGGAGTATGTCCAAATCATATTTGGACTTGCAGGAGAGAGAGAAGAGTGATTTTGCTCAAAAGTAACCAACATGAACAAAGGCATGGAAGTGGGAGAGTGTGTATGCATGTGTGCCTGTGTGTTTACTGCATAGTAGGGAAAATTGTGAAAGACTATGAAATGGACCAAGAATGTAACTGGATTTCCCTCCTACACTAGAAGAAGCCACTTATATCTGTGAAACCACAGATGTACGTCTCTGTGTCTTTGGATTCTCCCTTGAACCAGTTTTAACATCTTCCTTGTTCTCACATTAATTAAATAAAAACATTTGGCACAAGTTCATTTTCTACTTCTAGAATCACAGTTACATCTTTTAAAAAATTCTCTTACACACACAGAATGCACACATGTGCACACACACACCACACACACCATACACACACACACACACCACACACACCATATACACACACACACACACACACACCACACACCATACACACGCATGTTTGTAAGCCCTGTGGGGCTCAGCCATCTCACCCTGAGAAACTGAATAGTTTCTCACAGTCGGTGAGAAAGACTGTGATCTGCTGAAAGGCCGGACCATGCAGCTTGAACTTTATTAGGTAGTTTTGTCTTTAAGATGGTCCTTCAAAGTGTTGGAATCACCATTTTGTAATTATTCATCCCTCTAAGACACTGAGCAAGAACGCAGAGGCAGCATTACTCTTGGCTTTTTCTGTACATCTCTGGGAACTTTCCTCTGCCATACAGGGTAGAGCTGGGTAGGTTTTTCCAGCTTTTCACAGCTGGTTCAGCCACAAACGTTGCCTCTGCTTGGCTGCTTTGAGGTTCCTCACAGAATGCCTTAACTCTTTTTTTTTTTTTTTTTTTTTTTTTGAGACAGTGTCTCACTCTATCACCCAGGCTGGAGTGCAGTGGCACAATCATGGCTCACTGCAACCTCTGCCTCCCAGGTTCAAGTGATCCTCTCACCTTAGCCTCCTGAGTAGCTATTTTTTGTAGAGATGGGATTTTGCCATGTTGCCCAGGCTGGTCTCGAACTCCTGGGCTCAAGTGATCTCTGCCTGCCTTGGCCCCCCAAAGCTCTGGTATTACAGGCAGGAGCCACTGTGCCGGCCTGTCTTGGCTTTTTCATCTGTATGGGGCGAGAGAGAGAGAGAGAGAGAGAGAGAGAGAGAGAGAGAGAGAGAGAGAGAGAGAGAGAAAGAAAGAAAGAGAGAAAGAGAAAGACAGTTGGCCTCTGGAGCCCACAGGCCTGCACCTCCCCTGCTGCTGTCATACCCTCTACTATGTTCGAGTGGGAGAGGGCACCAGAGCCACTGAGCCATCCTGAGGCCAGCAGCACACTTGCCCAGACAGGTATACATCAAAGAGGCCCACCGCTCCCGGCTCCCGGCTCCTGGCCATTTCATTCTGGTTTTGGTCCTTGTTTTAAAACCATGAAGCAAAGGGTCCAGGTGCTTCCTATGACTTTTGCAAACCAATGACATAGGCTCTCTCCTTGACTCCACTTTAGTTAGGCTCCCTCATTCCTTTTCTCAATGAGACCTCATCCTTGAGTCCTGCCTGCCACCTACCATGCCCAGTTGTTGCAACGATCTCACTGTCAGTTTGGTGAGAATTCCACCACCCTCCATACCTGATCATCTTTAAAGGAATTTGATAACTGCTCAAATTCCTTATCACCTACCTTTGGCATCTGATCACCCTGGCCTGGCTTCAGCCAGAATCCTATTAAGTAAGCATAGCAACGATTCTCTTAGTACTTTTCCATCCACTGACCGCTCATCTGCTCATCAGCTGTAAATCCCCGGCTCTCTTCCTTGCCTTCGGAGTTGAGTCCCATCTCTTTCTCCATTTGATAGTCTTGACACCTATGGAAATCATCCCGAGTCAAGTCTTTCTTATATTTTACCAAGTGTGAGAATAATTTTTTAACACCACCAGGGTCTGAGCTCAAAGAGTTGACTTGCCCAGGTCATTCCGACTACTACTGAAAGCCTACTTGAGCTGACTGGGGCCACATCCTGCTTTCTGAGACCCACCCAAACCAAATCACGGTCACTTGGTCTTCCAAGGCATCCTGCAGTGCGTTGTTAAGGAGATACCTCTAGTCTGCCCTCCTGGAAGAGAGTCACCCATTCCCCTTCTGCCTGGAAAACCTCTTAGTGGGGAGACCGTTGTTTCATTTGCTGGGATGTCCTGAACTTAAAGGTCAAGGGAGAGAGATTTTGACCACCAGGCAGCCTGACCCCACACTCTGTCTTCCATCCCAGACCCCACGCGCCGTCTTCCAACTCAGACCCCACGCGCCGTCTTCCATCCCAGACCCCACGGGCCGTCTTCCAACCCACACCCAGGCGCCGTCTTCCATCCCAGAACCCACGTGCCGTCTTCCATCCCAGACCCCAGGCGCCGTCTGCCATCCCAGAACCCACGCGCCGTCTTCCACCCCAGAACCCACGCGCCGTCTTCCATCCCAGACCGCACGTGCCACCTTCTAACCCAGACTCCACGTGCCATCTTCCTACCCAGACCCCACATCATCTTCCTGCCCAGACCCCACACACACCCACTTCTCTGTGTGTAGAAGGGATCTGATGACTTTGTAACCTACCTGACAGGACTCCTTCAGGAGGTGTCCCATTCTTTAGAGAGAGAGGATTCTATGTGTTTGGGACATTTCCCCCTCTTAATTTGCGCAGCCTCACAGAACCCAAACAGAAGTTAACCCCCAAGATGTGCAAGGACAAAAGGGTCGAGGAAATAGGCCTGAGTGGCTGAAACAACAAACCCTTTTCCTAAAAGGCAAAGAATGATTTTCTATGTTAGAAAGAATTTACAACCTCGGCTGCTTTCCTTTCTTATTTCTTTTTTCCAGCTTCCTGCTCCCCCCCACCCTCCGCAATAAAGGAGACCCATTTGTCCAGGACGCCCTTCTTTTTGATGAGAGTCTGTCTCTGGGAAAGGAATTGGGCTTCAAGGAATACATAAAATTAAGTAGTAAAAAACAAAACAACACACAACGCAATGCCACCCACTGCTGACGGGCAGGACCTTCTGGGGCTGGGTCCATCTGCATTGTGATGAGAGCAGTTTGTGAGTGATGTCAGCCTAATTAGGCAGGCTAATGTCTGGTTTCCTGGAGCGGGCTTTTGTGAAGTAATTGGCTGCCTTGGGGTCAAAATGCAGTAATTATAGGTCTTAAAAAAAAAAAAACAACTATATGAGATAAACAGCCTTTGAATTCTTCAAGCAAGTAAGCCAATCACACCAAGAGACTTCTCTTTGTGCCCAGAACTGCAGTGGGTATTTTGACAGGTGATTTCAATACCATGTAGCTATTTATTTATTCTGGGTTTGGGACATAAACACAAACATCTTGGCCTACAATCCTACACGTTCACCAAATGTGGGGATTGCATGGTAGAGGGTCTGCTTCAAGTGCTGAAACTGGAGAATAAGGTCACCGTGTTCTGAGCTAAAGCAGAAATTCCACCACAATTTTAAAGCTGACAGGAGAGTTATCCATGTAAACCAGCTCCCTTTCTTCCAGTTGTTTACTTATTTTCTTTGTAAAAAATCAACAACAGAAGATTCTGGAAGGCTACGAAAAACTAATGAAGTTTGGAAATGTCATTTCCGTCTCGGGAGGCGTGGAGACTGGATCAAAGCCAGCAGGAGCCTACTTGAGGTGAGGGTGGCTGACCCCACCGTTGAGGAGACCTGGAGATAGAAGTGGGGAAATGTTTTATGATGAAATAAGCCCCATTTCCGGGATTTCGTTGCCTTCTGGGGTCCCAGTCCCTCCCACTCCATCACAAGCTGGCTAACCCTGGAAACCCCACACTCAACCCCAAACCGTGTGTGCCGAGCAGACCTTCTGCATCGTAATCTGCATTTTAGCACAATCCCCAGGGATTCCTATGCTTATTCACGTAAGCTACTTTGTGATGAGGTTTGTTCCTGATACCAGTGGCTCATTTTGAGCAAGTACATTGACAAGGCAGTAGTATGGGGGCAAAAGGTAAGCACGAGGGTGACAGCCTGCTCCATTTTGATCTTTTAGAAGAGCGATTTGCAGATACTTATATCCCACTTTTCTTTTTTCTTTCTTTCTTTTTTTTTTTTTTGAGACAGAGTCTCGCTCTGTCGCCAGGCGCCAGGCTGGAGGGCAGTGGCGTGATCTCAGCTCACTGCAACCTCTGCCTCCTGGCTGGGTTCAGGCAATTCTCTGGCCTCAGCCACCCCAGTAGCTGGGACTACAGGCACATGCCACCACGCTCAGCTAATTTTTGTATTTTTAGTAGAGACAGGGTTTCACCATGTTTGGCCAGTATGGTCTCTATCTCTTAACCTCATGATCCGCCCCCCTCAGCCTCCCAAAGTACTGGGATTACAGGTGTGAGCCACCATGCCCGGCCAGCCCACTTTTCTTAATGGTGAAACTTCTGTTAGTTGTTTGTGGGAATTTGAGCACACCCTCCTCTCTCTCACTGCTCCACCCAGGACACCTGACACCTAAGCCTGAAGGGTGCAGGTTGGATCCATCTCTGTCTCTATAGATGTAGCCTGACATTATAGATCAATCACCATGCATCAATTGCCATCACCCCTCCTTAAACAGATTAAAAAACAAATAGACGTCTCTTAGCACCAAGCATGATTTGGAAGGCTGGTAATTAACAGCTCAACTTGGGTCTGCGTCTCGGTATTACCACAACCTTAATTATTTACGTACTATGCTAGATAGGGCTCCCTTACTACCTAACTTAATCCCGATACACCCACTATGTCTCTAAGAGGACAAGACCTACCCCAGCTTTCATGGAGCTTCCTATTTCATGGAGAAGACAGAAAATAAACAATTCATTGCAAGTCGGATGGGTTTTACAGAAGGTTGCAATGGGAGCCTATCAGAGGGGGATCAAAGGCTTCCCAAGTAAGTCATGTTTAAGTTGGAACTGAGAATTCCTGGGGTGGGGTTTTCATGGTGAAGCTGGAGCCAGATCAAGGTGAGCTTTGGTGACCCAGGAGGATGATGTTGGATTATATTTGATGGGCAATGGAAAGCCATTAAACTAAGTGAGAGAGTTATTCAATCCAATGAGAAACAGCAGGAGGGCTGTGGTTTCGAGAATGGTTGGCTTGGAGGTAGCCAGGGAGGATAGGGTGGGATGATGATGACTTGGGCTGGAGTGTGGACCACCGTGGTGGGAGCCATGGTCTGTTGAAGAACTGTTTAGATGTGGGATCAGTGACACTTGATTTACTTGGGTAGCAATGGAAAGGGAGATTTTGACTCCAAGATATGAAACATAAGTAGTAATCTTCAGTGTAGACTCATCAACTTAATGAAACATAACCGAGTACTACCAGTCACGCTGTAGAAAACCGGATTTCTCCAGATTTTACCACCCCCACTACAGGCTAGGCACTCTGCAAAGTGGCTTATCAGCCTCTGATCCTTAATCTTTATGACAACTCTGTGAGGCTATTACTGTTAGGATTCCCATTTCACAGGCAAGGAAGGCGAGGCTTAGGAGAGCCAGGAGGAGCTATGTTAAAGCTCAGGTCTATTTGAGGATGGTCCTTGTGTGTCTGTTTCCCAAACTTACCTGATGACAAGACTCACGTGCCACACTTGGTAAGTGTCCACACTGCCTGGTCCCCTCAGGCACCTGCTGATTTGATGAGTCAGGGCCCCAGAATCTGTGTTTCTGTAGACCTTGTCACCAGGCCACTTTGGGAAGCACTGACCCATGCTGCCAGGACTTGGCCACAGAAGGGGCTGGGGCCAGCACCACCCCATTCTAACCAGTCCTGGTAAGCTATTTGTTTCTGCACTGCAATTTTCCTCATTTATTTTCACCTTACCCCTCACTCTGACTAGTTTTTACACACAGAACTTATTGCAACCTGAAGTTTTTCTGTATTCTTTTTGGTTTTTCAGCCCCTCCAGAATGTAAGCCCCAAGAGGGCAGTGATCAGACCAGCTCCTGAAACAGGGCAGGACCAGAGCCCTCATCCAAGCCCTTAGTCTCTTCCTGGAGGTCCTCCGGAGCCTTCCTGTTCCCATTTTTGCTCCTCCGACACCCACTTTCCATTTCTGGCATGAAATGTAAATCTCAGCCCCTATATAGTCCTTAGAGTCAGACCAGCTTGCTTGGCCCATGCCTGCCCGCCCCTCCTTCCCAACATTGTCCCTTGGCTCCAGGCAGCCACACAGGCCTCCAGGGTGTTTTCCAGTCCCTCCAAGAGATCTTCAGCTCTCCAGGGCACTTTTTCTGGAAGCTTAATAACAGCATATTTTTCTGGAGGGGTGGGGTGATGAGGTTGAAGACCACACTCTCCCGTGACCACCCTTCTGCCCACTGTTTTTCCTAGGCCTCCACTGAGTCCTTCAATAGAGAACTGCTCGCTTAGAAGAGGCTTGGGAAGGATATGCATGGTGGCGGTGCTGCCAACCTGGCATGGAAGGTACAAGAGGCGTCCTGAGCAGGAGGTAAGGAGGGCCGCTGAGCCATTTCCAAGGGGAACGGCTGGCCTCGCTGGTCAGGGAGAGTGGAGACTGCAAGACTGCAGGGAGGTCCCCTCCATGAGAACTCTGTGGCGGCTCCCTGGGTGGGCCAGGCAGGCACAGCCTCGCTGTGTTCCGTGCAGTTGAAAGAAAGCTGCGGGGCGGAGGGGGCCTGGCTGCTGGGGCCTCCACCGTGGGCTGCGCCACACATGGCTAAACTACACAGACTATTAGCAATCAAGGAAGGACCTCCCTGCGAGGGAAAATGACACAGGGGTTACTTCTCTGTAAACATCCCCGGAACAGGCACCGGTTCCTTTTAAGGGCTGTCTTTACTTCCTTTGAGAAGTTGCAAATGCACCCATGGAGGGCTTTGGCGCTCAGTCACACGTGGGGGAGGAGGGACTTCTGTACACATAGTCACTCCCAGACGGAGAAAGCCCCGCATGCCATGAGGATTTGCCAGTGGTCTGCACCCTGAAATGGATTCTGCTGATGCATAGAACCAATAGCCTTGCAACAGAAAACAGGGCTGCCTGCAGGGAAATGCACTACCTGACAGCTGGGCACAAACATTCCTTTCAGTTGCATCCTCCCAGCACCTTTGTTTTACAGGCTGCTTTTAAGAGAAGAAAATGTAGTATATGCTCCTTGCTTGTGTAAGAACATACTGAAATCACATGGGTCATCTGTCAGGCCCTCCTGACAAAAGAAGGGACAGAGACTTATCAGGTGTTTGGAACCTCAAATTGTACCCACGGATGTGAAGCCATAGCCTTCTGAGTCTTTTCAATGAGTGGTTGCAAGTTGTCTCTCTTCTTAGGAAGCTTAATAACAGCATATTTTTTAAGAGACAGGGTCTCAGCTGTCACCCAGGCTGGAGGACAGTGGCATGATCGTAGCTCACCTCAACCCCCAACTCCTGGGCTCGAGAAATCCTCCCACCTCAGCCTCCCAAGCAGCTAGGACAACGGGCACATGCCACCACCTTTGGCTACTTGTTTTAATTTTTATTTTAGTAGAAATAGGGTCTTACTCTATTGTCCAGGTTGGTCTCAAACTCCTGGCCTCAGGTGATCATCCTACTTTGGCCTCACAGCTTTTTTGGGGGAAAAAGATCTGTAGGTTGTATTGATGGCTATTGAACTTGGGAGTGACAGAAGGCCCTACCCTTGCCTAAATGACAAAGGAACTTTCTGGACTTCTGTAGCTGGGCATTTTGGAGGTGGCTCAGGGACTCTAGTGGTAACCGTGGAAGCTAAAATGTATTGAGCATGGCACACAGATCATACAAGCCCTCACATCTGACTCTCACCACCTCATGACACAGGTCCTATCCTCAGCCTATTTTGCAGATGAAGAAGTTGAGAAGCAGGAGTCACAGCTAGAGAGTGGCAGAGCGCAGCTTAGTCCCTCAGCCCTGCTCCGACGCAGTTCTGAGATCTGCACCCTCTGAACTTATCCCATTCGCTCCTACTGCACACGGGCACTTTCCCACAGGGAGAAAAGCAGTGGCTGGAAGCCCCCACTGGACAGTCTCCTTGCCCAGAGACTCCAGGCCAAGGGCAGTCTCCCCAGTTTACTCTGTAGAGCGGGTCCTCACAGGGCCCCATGGGAAATAGAAATGCGTCCGGGCACTGTGACAAGTGGAGGCTCTATGGCTCAGACAGCACTCCAGAGACGCAGTCCACTGTTGTCAGCACCTCCAATTCTCTAGAAAAGCCAGAAAGCCGGATTTTTTAAAATGAAAGTTTCTGCTTCAGAAAACACTATGTAGACCTAACAAAATACATCTTGGAGTCCCCAGTATCAAGTCCTTATTTCCAGAAGAGCCCTGGAGAGTTCAGCTTTAGCTGCTTACCCACCCCTGAAGTAGACCCAGGCCTGGGGTGTTCTGACCCGTCAGGGACCCGGATCTGCTCCCTGGTATGACCATGACTGACAGACCCCCCAAGCCACCTGGTGTGTGGAAGGAAAGTTCCCAAAGAAAAAGCCACAGGGTAAACTCTGGGCCTTCTCTAGAGCCGAATGTATGAATTCATAGTCCCACAGGCCAAATCATCAGAGGAAAAATACTCCATTCAAAAGCTGAAGTTGCTGATTTTTTTGAACAGCATTAGAGCAGAGATGAACACACTGCACCGCTGTGAGCAGTGGCAACTCTTCTCCAGCCTCCTCCAAGGAATGTGGCTTGGTCAGAAAGTAGGGGACCCTCTGAAGTTGAATTAAAAGTGTGGTTCTCATTTTCTATTCCCATTTCAGCCTGTCGACGAAATAAATACAAAGGAACCAGATCCCCCCACTTTGTGACATTTGCTAATTATAGCAGAGACTTTGCTTGCAATGCATTCCCACCTGGGCTGGGGTCTAGACTAGGATTAGCAATTTTCTGGGCCTTCCTAATCCATCCGCTGCTAGCCCATCTGGAAGAAAATGTGGCGTGTGTACACTTGACTTGTGGATCTCAGGTTGGTAATTGTGTAGTTCTCCAGGCATAAATCTTATGACCATTCTCTCATGCTTTTTAGAAACCATCATTTCAAGGGAGGACTTCATGTTGAGGTGTGCCCTGTGTGATGCCATGAGTTGAGTGCCAGCAGGGGGCCCTTCTGACCTCAGTGCTCATCCCCTCCACCCCCTGCACTTGTCACAGAACCAGAGATTACGCTAGTACTTGCTTTCCTCAAGTTGATGGCATTGTGCGCCTATGTTAGCTTAATTGGGTTCCACAGACCAGGGATGACGCTGTGTTCTTACCTATAACATGACCTGCTACAGACTCAGTCTGACCTGTTTCATGGACTACACATGTCCCCTTCTTTTATAACCAATTTAATAATGGGTATTTTTGGCCCATTTTTCTCAGAGGAAGAAACTAAGTTTTCAGGGCTTGAAGTGAAGTTCTGTGTGTGTGTATACACACATATGCAATTTAACTACAAGCTATATACTCCGAATACACTGTAAACTCCTAATAAGGGACTATCAGGATGTTTTTGGCTACAGCTAACAGAAACCCCCAACTTCAAATGACAAGAAAACTTACTGAATATAAGTTTAAGTCCAGAAGTTGGATGGCTCTGAGGCTGGTTAATTTCACAACTCAAATGACACCCTTGGGAACCCAGGTTCATTATTTCTGTTTGCCATCCTTGGCATAGCTGCATCCCACATCACCCACAGTTAGGGAGGTGGCCCAAGTGTGTCGTTGGGTGCCCATTCCCTATTTCACACTTGATGTTCAACATTCTGCACCTCAGCTTTGTTGAATTTCGGTACAGTAACATCAGTAATACCCATTTTCTTCCAATTAACATGGAAGTTGAGAAGAGTTCTTAGCTTATGTTTTAGAGAGGATGCGTGTATTAGCAGGGCTGTGAACCAGTAGGAATTTTCTCCATTGCAAGTGACTCAAGGTGTATGTCCTCATTTCTGGCTTCCACGCTCTGTATTGACAGAGAGCTTGGATTTGGAAGTCTGGTTCCACCAGTTACTAGCTGTGACTTTGTGCCTCAGTTTGTGCATCTGTTTGATGCCTCTATTTTAAGGATTAAATAAATTAATACAGGGGAAATCCTTAGTTCAGGGCCTGTCCTGTCCTAAATTATTAATGTTATTCTCGAAGCTTCCTGCTGCTGCAGGGGACGTGGAGAAGACTGCTCTGACATGACATCTGTACAGCTGGTGTTCCAAAGGAAAATAGAGGGATACCCTCCACCAAAGCTGAGGAGGGCTCCATGGGCCTGGCTGTGTGTTGCACTCTGTAGCCACCGCTGGGCCTGTGGCAAGGCCTGTGAGGAATGCGCTGAACAGATAATACTCTAGATGAGCCATGATCATTTGGTTTCTTTTTGAATCCAGAGGAGTTGTGATTTTGATTGGATATGTTGAACATATTATATATGTTAGCTGCCATGGTTCTAACAAATATTTGGGTCATAATGTAATCCTTTATTCTCAGCTCTAGAGTGCAATCACATGTCTAACAATTCTCTCTGTGTTTGATAGAATTTATTGCTGAAAATGAAATTCTGGAGGGGCAAATAACACCTTCAGAGACGAACTCAGCTTTAATAGACATTAAAAAAAACTCTTGTATTTTTTTGTTATATAAGCATGACACATGAATAAAATGATGTGCAGATCCAAAATAATGCAGGCAGCAAAAGTGTGTCTCACTAGGGTAATGTTAATAATGTGCGTTGCTTAGAAGGCACACGAAGTACTTAAATCCAAATGACCACCTTAGACTGTCCTGTGTCCTCTCCCACAATGCTGTGGGCTCCTCCCAGCACTGAGCTTCTCCCACAATGCCGTCAGCTCCTCCCCAGCCTTGAGCTCACCACAGGGCTTTGCCTGCACCACCAGATTCTAGGATCTTCAGGTGGAAAGAGAGAACTTTTTCACCATTCTCTCCTCAGGCCCCTCTGCAGTGACAGGAGCACAGTAAGTGCTCTATACCTGTTTTTTAAATAAAACTGATACTGTATGTCAAAATGTATTTTTCTTTATAATTTATTTACTCTCAATTTGCAAATGAAAATTGTATATATTTATCATATACGACCTGTTTTAAAGTGTGTACACTGTAGAATGACTAAATTGGAGTAATAAACATGCATTACCTCACATACTTATCTCTTTTTTTGCAGTGAGAACAATTAGAATATATTCTGTTAGTTATTTTCAGGAGTGCAATACATTGTTATTAAATGGGGTCACCTTGTTGTACAATAGATCTCTTGAACTTATTCCACCTATCTAACCAACATTTTGTGTCCTTTAGCAAGCAAACATTTTCCCAGCATCCCTCCCGCACCAGTCCCTGGTGCCCACCATTCTACTCTCTGCTCCTCTGAGTTTGACTTTTTAAGATTCCACATATGAGTGAGATCTTGAGGTATTTGTCTTTTGTGCTTGGCTTACTTCAGTTAACATAATGTCCTCCATGTTCACAGTTAACATAATGACCTACAGGTTTACCC